CCACTACCACACCACCACCACCACCATCACCACGACCACGACTGCAACTACTCTACGTCTACGACTACGATTGCTTCTGTAACTGCGACTGTGACTTCGACGTCCACTGTGACTGCGACTACACTGCTGCTGCTGCTGCTGCTGCTGCTGCTGCTGCTACTGCCACAGATACTGCCATCGCTACTCGCCTTCCTCCCCAACCTCCTGGTTGGAGCCCCACCACTCAGGTACAGTCGCTGGTGGATTTTTGGTCGAGTTCCTCCGACTGCATTGTAGCGCTCACGGCTCCGCCGCTGTTCTTAACCTTGCAGGTTGACCGTTTTCATCGCAATAATGGCCGTGTGACCAAGCGCCACGACACCACTGAGGTGAATCACCAAATTGTGGTGCCGATCTTCTCGGGCGCTGATCTTGCTGTTGAGGTATCGTGGTACAAACTGAATGCCGCCATTTCACATGCAGGGCTACACCCAAGTACAGGACATTACACTGCTTGTTTGGTCCAAGGTACAAGTGTATGGTCTTGCGACGACAATCGGCATGCACACCGGAGTGACTCCTTTCCTAAACTGCATGACAAAGAGTGCTACGTTCTCCTGTATCAAAGGTGTGCTGCGATATGATCTGTTTGAACCTCGCTCATCATGAGCAACCTTTTCAGTGTGACGAGACAGTGATAAAATCACTGTGCGCTTGCCGCCGGGATATCATTCCTGCTCTTTCCATCCGCCAGGGCGGTCCGACCGAGATCGCTGTGCTGAAAAGAAAGGAAGGCTGCCACCGCTACTGCTGCTGCTGCTACTGCTTCTACTTTGACTTCTACTTCGACTTCTACTTCGACTACGACTACGACGACGACTATTGCTACTTCTTCCGCTACTAGTTACCAGTAGCACTACTGCTCCAGAGGATGATGCTGGGGCTCTATGTTGGGTTGCAAACAACGTAGAGAAGTAAAGCGGTGATTCTGGCTGTAGACGTGGGTTAGACACGGAGGATGGCTCAAGAATCCGTGAGCCACCCTGCACCGCACAATCGCAAAGCGCTCTCGCCGCAGTGCCACTGGCGTCGGGATGCTGTGTCGCTCGAGGGTTGTGCTTTAAATAAAAAAGAGCTTGGATTTCCAAATGGGACAATGCACTCTCGCCACAGTGCCGTGGGCTGCGGGTTTCCTGCACTTTCCCGAAAGGGCAAGGCTCACCTTTTGGATCTCGTGCGTTCTCGCTACAGCGTGTGCAGTGCATCCAGCTCGAGCATCTTACGGCTTTGGGCACTATGTTAAATACCTCGCCGGGATTTGCTGTCGGACCATTCGACGCCCCCTTCACACCTCACGTGAACACCAAGAGGCTTCAACGAAACGACAACCAGCGAGCAGGAATGCAAGCGAGCCCAACGAAGTTGAAACTGGCCTTGATACAGGGACGAGCATGAACCAGGCCGTTCCGTTCAAATCGTCTACGCGTACCGGAGCAACATCAAAAGCAAGCTCACCCGGACAGAAGTGGGTTCACAAATGAGGCCCATCGACCCTCGCGGCAGAGTGAACAAGACTCAACATAGCAAAGAGCTTTCAGATTCCGAACCATGTCATTGCTGAGAGCAGATCTCTGGACGCTCTGTGTGGCACAACTCCTCAGGCTGCCCCTACGGCATCCCGTGGCCTTCTGTCGTGCTTGCGTCTTTGAGACCTCGGACGGAAGGGTGAAAAAAATCGCAAGCTGCTACGGTCATCTGCACGAAACCAGTCAACTTAAAACTAGAAGCCACATCCATATCTCATCTACTTAAGAAATATCAGGACCTGGTACCTTGGCCCCACTGAAACCCCTTTATCTTTGAATCACAGCTGCAGTCGTGAGCCCTGCTCTTCCTGCCACGCATGCCACGCGGCATCTGTGCCGAACACGAGAATGCTGCCAGGCGGGAATCGATGCAAGCGAAGTCGAGAATTGCCTTAGTTTCCACGCAGCCTGCCACAGACCGGCTTAGATGGCCCCGCGTGTGCGAGCCAGCCGCTTCCTTGTGTCCACACAGTTGCGACTTCGTGGACAGAGCCGTAGACGTGCAGATAGCACTCCATTCCTCTTCAGTCAAAGGCGGGACACATGCTAAGTTTCACGGCAAAATACATATCGCTGCATCAAAAGAATGAAGGATCTTGCCTGTAATCAGCTCGTTGTCAGGACGATAGCCATTTTCGTGCTGATCTCCGACCTCGGTCGCAAATCAGTCAGGCCAAGTTGCTTGAGCCGGACAACTGTATGTCCAAGTGTTGCCAAGTTTTGCACTCACTGTAACCAGCCAGAGCCACAAACAGAGTTGCGGCGACGTGCAAGTGCGCAATGGTTCCGTCCACCTCCAACTCTTGAGTGCCTCACAGGTTCTGGAACGGCCAGTTTGGGCGTTGAGCCTGTTGCTACATCTGATGCGACGTAGGCTGGCTCGCGGCTCTCGACAGCCATCGCTACAACCTTGAAGCATAGCACATCCTGCCATCTCTTTCTAATATCTGCGCAGCAACTTGCGGACCAGAGAACCCCCTATGCCAATCAGCACACGAGCCGAACAAGCACACCATAGAGGGGTTCCAAAATTTCTCGCAGTTGCCAGAAGGCAAGCCGTCACCCATGCGGTTTCTCCAGAAAGCAGAGCGTACAACAAACCTGAGGCTCAGAGGACGCAAGGACACAGCATGGTGCGCGCAGGCTTGAACCCTATTGCTTGCTTTCGCTGGCTGCTTTAAGGGGTGAGACGCAATGACACTTCTGTTGCAGCTTCACCAGGGCAGCACAGACGCCAGACCGAGTGTCCGTTGTCCGGTGACCGCCTCTCGATCGCCAGCGTGTCGTCGGCTAAGAAGTGAACCTATGCTGTGGCGCCATGCGACGCCACCAACGAGCTTGAACACACCGAAGCAAATTAGCAGCCGAAGCACGCTGATTTCCGTGTATCCATCACGACCAAGACGGGTGTGGAGCCTGTTGAGAACCTGCAGATCGGCGTTCAAGCAGAATGACCCGGAAAGGCAGCCGCACATCCAGTACATTCGATGCTTCTGGCCTGTTTAACCAGCAGAATGCCGGGAAGGTTGTTGACCAACACATCCGGCCCAGAGATGGAACTCTCCGAGGTTGGGGCTGCACCCGGTATACCTCGAGCCGCAAAGTTGGAGCGGCCCTTCAGACTTGCAGCTGGTGTGCAAATCCGTCTGTGACCCGCAGCTGCCACACTGCATGTTGCGGCAAATTGCCGCAGAGTCTCGTGAGTGGGAGCGGACATGACGAATCATGTCATGCACTAGCCTACCATGCAAATTTCTAAAACTGGCATTACAGCTGGAATGCGGGTCAAGTCGCTTAAAACGTTGTTCTCATTGTGGTGTTCGTCCTGAAACGGGTCCACAGCACATGTGGGGAGATGGCACAGGGTCTACGCTCCCACTTGCGTGAGGCATGTCTGGTCCTGGGCTAGGGGCAGCTTCCTGTTGATCGTCCAGGTGTCATCGACAATGAACTTGTACTGCATGGGCAGCTTGCTAACCTGCTAAGGATGTTCATGTTCGAAGTCCGAGGCGTGCTGGAGGTGTTTTTTTCTGTTTCCTTAGACTTGCTGTACCCTGCTGCTGCAGCCCTCAGAATGTTTTGAGCGAAGCTATAGCTACCTTCGAGTCAGGTCGCCTCAAATCCTCTATGCTTTTCAAGCTTTACGCCCGCAGCACCGTCCCCTGCGGCTTTTGAAAGAAATAGCTGGCATCCTAGACGTTCTCACAGTTTGCAGCAAACAATTGCAAAGAGCTTCAACAACCGAAGAAACGAACCCTGTGCCGTCGCACAGGCCACCTCCACTTTCAACTTCGCACTCCACTGTCCGTTTGACGTCCTCTGGAAGGTCAGGTCCTGGCGAAGGCCGAGAACATCGAATCGATGAAGCTCGACAGACACCGGATCTCAGACTCGTCACCGCAATCTCGTCTGAAGTTGGTCCTAAAAGGTTCTTTGGACTGCTTTTCACTGCAATCTGCTCAGCATGCACGGGGCACATGCTGGTCTGATTCAGACAGCCGGAGGAACCCCGCACATCCCCGCACGCTCCTCCCGCCAGCCGTCCCAAGCACCGCGCGCAACGACTTTCGAGGCGGGTTCATGCCAAATGATTTCGAACTCCTTGCGCAGTTGCTGGGCTTGGCCACCTAGTCATTAGCAAATGGAGAGGATGCACTAAGTAAGATTCCAGTGTTACTGGCAATGTGCTCCAATAGTGAATATTTTCTTAACAGCCTCAAGTAGCTCTAAACTCAGGCCACAAACAGCGTGGTTGCAGCAAACCGTGCGCGGCGATGTGCTCAGCCAAGGAGTTGAAGTTCTAGCGTCCGAGGTGAACCTTTAACTCTTGCACCGATTACGTGCAATGGACTCACCCCAAAGAAAAGCATGGAAATTAATGTCGGCCGAATCCATGAAGATGTCAGCGGTAATCAATGCACAGTGCCTGAGGTTCACGACGCTAGCAGGATCTTCAATCCGGTCTCGACAACTGTGGGTGTCTGGTGGCCTTGCCACAGAAGGCCGCAAGGAGACCAGGAAAGCAAAAGCCAATGTTCTGCGGGCTCCGCCAACAGTGGCCGACAGTACGCAACAGCAGTACGGGCTGCAATCGACAACTCCAAGACTTCCTTCTCGAACTCGGGCGCATCCGCCCGGGAAGCCTCTGCTGCGAGCTCGAAACCATTTATGTCCACCTCGGATCAAAAGCCAGAGAGACGACATGAAGCAACGCAGCACCTGGTTTACCAGAGTCAAGCGGCTGCATCGGCATGGGGCGACTGCGCGTACAGCCTGTAGCAGGGTGTTTTCTTCGGTTTAACAGACTACGACCTCTCTGCACCCGGCTACAAAACTATCTGGACTCTTTAACCGTTTTGACTACTGCTGTGTCTGCTTTCAACTCCAACGACGCGAAACTGCCTGCGCTCACTCACCACCGACGGATTCGAAGGGAACAGGTCGTCGTATCCACGGACACTGCCAGCGCTCGCACAGCTGGCCGCAACAATGGCCGCGTTGGGCAAAGCATCCCTGGCAGATTCAATGAGCAGCAAGCCGGCAACCACAAGCCCGATCGGCTAAACCGTCATGACCCGGCGTCGAACTGAAGTTTGTGGTATTTCTAGGCAGCAGCTTCCGCCTTGGATGACGCTTTTGCGCAGGCGTCTGGTTGTCCTCAATCAGTGGCCACCAGAAATGCAAGAGGGTGGAACGCCCTGGGGGCCC